TGCTTTAACTGCTAACGAGAAAAGGTATTTACCAGTTTATATTTACTGAAATAATTGCACTTCCATGTTCTGTGTACTGTGGGAGACCAGCTATAGTCAAAGCAGAGTCCTAAGTGTAGCAATACTTTAATATAGTCTCTTTTTGATTAAAAAAAGGATAGTAATACCAACAACCATCATTATATTTTATATTACAACATGATTTTTAATGCTCCTGTACAAAATTACTTTACATCTCCAATACAACTTCCTTAAATGATTGCTTGTTTGTACAACTACAAACCTTAGCTGTCTTATCAGGTTATAGCTGAGGAGACACTCTGGGAACTTTGACTGCATTAGGCAAGGTTCACACTGGTGTGATCCAATTTTGATCTGACTTTCAGTGCGATTATGCACTGCAATTTGGATGCTACTGTGAAGTGGTTTGCATATTCCATGGGGCCAACATCGCACTGGAATCGCACTATAGTACAGGAACCTTTTCCAAAATCGTGCCATGCTGAGTTACATTGAAGTGAATGGAGACCATTGAAAACAATATGATTTCCATTATCGTGATTCTGTGCATCTGAAATCATACTAGCATGAACAGAGCCTTAGGCATGGTTGATTCGGTATATATCAGAAGCTCTGAAGGCAAAAACATTACACTGCTAAATAGAAGCTTCTTACTGCACAGATATGACCAGTGATGATCCTGATGACTCCTGTGTGGCTGAGTTCTAGACTGGAGACTTCCCTGCTCAATTTGCCTCAACAATCTCCCTGGCAGTTTTTTTTTTTTATGCTGCCTGAGCCCCACTGGGGAGATTTCTCTTTACAAGTGTGAACAAATCTCTCCTAAGTTAGGGGAAATAACCTTTAGACAGCTGTCACCAGAAAAAAGGTCCCTCTTGTTTTTCTTCACAAATTTGAATTTCCGAGTCTTCAGCCTGAGGCTTTTCGTGCTAAATGCACTTCATCAGAGGATGGACGCCACTAGCAGTGTGACAGCAAGACTTCCTTTTAAACGCGGTTCGCGCATGCGCGAAAATCCCGCTCTATCGTCCGGAGTTAGAAAAGCGGTACTGCGCATGCACGGATAGCCACCATTTTGCCGTGGATCGCGGCTGTGCAGTATCAAACTGCGCATGCGCCGCCCAAGAACCGCGAACCGCGTTTAAAAGGAAGTCTTGCTGTCACACTGCTAGTGGCGTCCATCCTCTGATGAAGTGCATTTAGCACGAAAGGCCTCAGAAGGAGCCATTAGCAAGTGTGACTTCCTGACCACTGAGACCACGAGGTCCAGAGGTCCAGTGGTCTCTAATCTTTACCACTGCCGGGTTAGTACCAATTTTTTCTCATACTTACCTGTCCGCTTACTGGCTAATAGTGTATGTATGTATATGTGACCCTGGCTTTATGAGTGTTGCTACAATAAACTTCTGAACCTACCACACTATTGGCGTTCCCCTTTCTTTCCTTGACTCTCCTGTTGGAGGGTTGCAGATCTACACCTTCCGTTTTTTGGGGTGCCTGGAGTCACGAGGGGGATCCCTGTCTGCCTATCATTTGGGGCGAGAGGGTCTCTGGATCTGGAGGTATTACTACACCCAATGTTGATGTCAGTGCTTGAGAGGGAGGATCCATATGTGTTCTGGAGCTGCATGCTTGGCTGGTCCTCTGGATAAGATTACACACAGGCGCATTTAAAATGTGCGGTCGGTGAGTGCGCATTTTTATTGTTTTCCAGTCACCTAATGAGGAGAAGGCCTGCACATATCTGATTTTATTGTGACTAAAGACTTGATGAACTATTTTAAATCATGTTATTTTAAATCACATCACAGCTCTGCACTATATATATACTATATATCAGGAATTACTGTTCTACTGTTTCTGTCAGTGAATGGAAAAGGCCCCCAAGTTCCAGATAAATGCAAGCAATGGGCCACATCTGGCCCCCGGGCTGCAGTTTGAAGTCCACTGCTGTAGTTTAATATACATGTAAAGCACTCTATGTGTAGAAGCTTTGAGTTCACTTGTCCTCCAACCTCAAAAGAGCAAAAGTAAACTCCTGCAAGAATGGTAACTGATTTCTCTACCTAGTTATCCATAATGTAAGCCACGTCTTGTAATGACTTTGCAACAGAAAGTGCAGACAAAGCGACAGTTGAGTGATCTTGGTGCCAGGGTCTTGGAGAGATGCAGAAGAAACCAGTTGCTAATTCTAACTACTAAATCTGATGTAAGGGTAATAATATCCCTGATTCAAACTGGCCTAAACCCAGTCTAAGCTGAGTTTGAATTAATAAAAGCCTATGGATTGAAGCCAGCTTTATTCTGGGCTTAGATGAACAAAACCTATGACAGCAAGCATATTAGAAATTGAAATTTGTATACTCAGATTCTAGTAAAAAATCTGTTAAGGGTGTTTAATATTCATTTGGAGTTGGACATTTCCTAAGTGACTTTGTGCTAAGGAGAACTGCTGACTATACTCAACATCTATGCCCCATTTATTATTAAACGTGTGTTTAGCAGATTATCATTATCATACTTGGCAGGAGAACCTAAGCAAAAAAACAACTCTTCAAAATGTCAGGTTCTTGCCTCTGACCTTTCTAAATATTAAGGTAAATATTTGCCTCCATGCCATGCAAATAGCTTTTTCCGGGATATAAACCTCAATCTCAATGCTGTTTGTGCATTTCCAATTCCTCTAATGCACAGTTATCATCTGTGCCTTTTAATATGGTGTGTGTATTCCAGTGACATGAATGGTTCTGCATGTAATATGCATTATACATCTTTTAATACATGGTGATGCACATCACCCCTCCCTGCCCTATTGGAAAATGTGTAATTCATCTAAAATGCATGAAATGTGCACTTAAAACATATGCTGTAATCTCTTCTCATCAGAAATCTGCATATTAATATTCCTAAGCATGATGCTCAATGTGTAGGATATGGTAATCATTTTTCTGCTCCTAAGAGGCAGTATCCGATGTTATGCACAGCTGGTGGCTCTCAATCCTGGCTGTCACTGACAGTTCCAGTCCCCACGGAGGATTGCCACCCTGTCAGAGTGGTTCCTGGTTATGTGGCCTCTATGTCAGCTAGGAGACTATAGTCTTCATTGACAAAGAACTCTTTCAGCCTGCAAATGAACACTGCCACTTTCAGACTGCAGTGAGATCTGCAGAGCTATCTATTTAACCACTTGCCCTCCAGAGGATTTACCCCCCTTCATGACCAGGCCATTGTTTGCATTACTTTAGCTGACAATTGCACGGTCATGCAACGCTGCACCCAAATGAAATTTACATCCTTTTTTCCCCACAAATAGAGCTTTCTTTTGGTGGTAATTGATTGCCTGTGCATTTTTAATATTTTACGCTATAAAAAAAAGCCTGACAATTGTGAGAAAAAAACAATCATTTTGACTTATTGCTATTAAACATGTCCAATAAAAAAAAATTAAAAAATTAAAATGTAATCATAAATTTAGGCCAAAATTTATTCTGCTACATGTCTGATCTGAAAAAAAATCCCAATACATGTAAATTAATTGGTTTACATTAAAGTTATAGCGTTTACAAATAGCGGTGTATGTATTGGGATTTTTTTATCACTAGTAATGGCGGCGATCAGCGACTTATAGCGGGACTGCAGCGGGCATTCTGACAATGGGGGGAACTGATTTGGTGTCACTGACATCCTTAGTGATACCAATACAGCGATCAGTGCTAAAAAAACACTGACACTGTACTAATGGCACTGGGCACAAAGGGGTTAACATGTGGGGCAATCAAAGGGATAACTGTGTGCTGTGTTAGTGCTTTAAACTGTAAGCACACTGCTTTGTATGGCTCTGCTATGCAGAGCCATACAAAGCAGTGTGCAAGCGCTGATAGGGGAGAGATCTGTATTACCTCCATTGGTAATGGCGATCACCGGTAAGTAATCACCAGCTGGGACTTGGCAATTGACAGCGGAGGCCGCGAATAGTGGCACGGGCCAGAAATGTGAAATCATACCCCCTTCGGCTGCCTGCCAGTAACTAATTAGGATCACAGTGGCTGAAGTTGTTACATTAAATAAATTTTATTCTGTGCATTTGTTGACTTCATTAAAGGGTTCAAGTGTATCTGAAGGAAAAACTTGAAAAGTTTTTGTTTTACTTTGGATACAGTGGGAGAGGGTTAGAACCTCCTTCAGACTTTCATTTCTGTATGTAATTCCACTCCTAGGAGATTCAATCTTTGTATTAGTTCTGGTACCCATTGTCACATGGAATGAATGTGAGGGACAGTCTGGATACTTCTGATGCCCAACACCTTCACTCATCTGCCAACATTTGAAGCTGAATAAAAAGGGGAAAAAGTTAAAGTGGGGTGAAAGGACAGCATTATGGTAAGATCTGCCATGTTCCACATTAAATAACACAAAATTCATTTTGGGGTTTTGGAAGCTGTCATTAACCCTCTCTGCCAGTACCATTTTTCCTTCTGTATACACATGCTAAAATGTACCATTTGTACATGAAAATACACCTAAAAGAGAACCAAATGATGGTAGTTGCATTTTTTATGTTGTATGGTAATAGTGCAACTGTTTATCCACTTTAGTTTTTAAAAAAAGTTGTTTTAGTAAAAAAAATATATTTAGCACCAAATAGAAAATATTTAGTACTAAAATAATTTTTTGTAAAAAATACAATCAAAATTAGTTTAGTTGACACAAACATAATCAAATCTCCAATTTTTCTGCCTCTAAATGCCCTTTTACAGTATGTTAGCCTATGTGTCCGTGCGCAGGCGTTTACAGGAGTTTAGAGGACAGAACATTTAGGGCTCATCTACACTGCAGCTGATAAACTCACGTTTGGGAGCTGTTCAGCGTTTTTTTCAGCAGCCCCTGAACTCACCCTAATGTTTTCCTATGTGTCCATGTACACATCTTCGTTTACAGTCGTTTACAGGCATTTGAGTTTACAGTCGTATTTTTTAACACAGAAAACTTGCGTTCAGCAGTCGATTTTATCAGCGTTTCAAACGAAAATGCTTGTAAATGTGGCTAAACGCGGCTATAAGCGTTTGCGTTTGAAATCTTTTTTTTTAACTCTTCCAGTTCCCGATGCTGTCCAGAGCCTTTTTTCATCATGAAAAATGCATGCAAAGCTTGTCACACATTGTAATGACCAATTCACACCTCAGACCTCTCCCACCCTTGGAAACAAAAGCTATGTTAATGCCCATTCACACTTCAAATTCCTCATGAAGACCCCCTGCCAGGTGACCTGAATGACTCACTCCACCAGTCACCTTTCCCACCCCTGGAAACAAAATAAATGTTAATGAGCAACTAACACCTAAGCTAATCTCAACACATACTGCTGTCTCTGCTTCTACTCTCTGTATTTCTCTGAAACAGTTTGAAATTGTTCATAATTTACCACTTTTCAGTGCATTCTGGGCATTTGGGAGGTTCTCTTGTGCTCATCTATAAAAAAACGCTTCTAAATGCAAACGCGCATAAACGCATTATGCAAACGCGGCTAAACAGACATTTAACCTACATTTTCCAGCAGTCAGTTTCCATCGTTCAGAAGTGTCCCGTGTACATGGGGCCTTAGAGGCAGGAAAAAAACATCACTTGCGCAGTCAGAAGGGGAGTGTTTGGGCGGAAAAAAAAACAAACACGCACCAACGCTAGATGTCTTTAGGTGTATTTGAGCATTAATGCATTCTAATGGTCAGAATAAATTAATATTCTGGCCAACAGGATGCAATAACGCCAAATGCATGAACACACACGATCTCGCATAAGTGTGCATGCAAAACACAGCTTTAGGTGCATTATTTTAAAGGAAGGCATGCAGGGGAGGAAAAAAAACACCCTGTGTGCATGAGATCTTATAGTTTTATTTAGGCGTCAGAGTTATTTTAACTGTACTGTTTAAATACAGCTAATAGAAGTACATGACTGTCTTTATATATTAGAATCCTGTAACTTCTGAAAGTAAAATAAATCCATTGCTTTAATGTCTTCAAAAACAGTTACATTTATAGCATGTCATGAATGATTACTATCACAGTTACATGTGCTCAGCTGAAATATCAAGCCATCAAATGTCTGTTGTCTGATCTCTCTGCCAGGGGTGCTAACCCAAAATACACAGCACAATTACAAATCCCATCATGGAAGGTAACACTGCTCTCACATATACTGTATTTGTGTATATACAGTAAATATATATACATACACACACACATACATACATACATATATATATATATATATACACACACATTCATACATGCGCACACTATATATACATTATATAGCATATTGAGCTGTTTGAATGTAATTTGGACTTAATTTAACAATTTAACAGAGAAGATGTGTAATTCCTTCATGTTAATAGCTACAGGGATCAGTTAGCAACCCCAGTAGGAAAAGACCTAGAGGAAAGCAGGCCCCCGAAGGGCCATAGTTCCTGCCACCCTCCCATCTTTACATAATGCTAATGCAAAAGTAGCATATTGAACGTGAAATGTTAATTCTCCATAGTGATTATATTAACATTGAATGAAATATCACATTAGCATTACGGTTTAGAGGGAACTAGTCTAATACATATACAAGTGGATTTTTCTGCAAAGGCTTAGTACAGTTTATTTAAAATTAAATTACAGTCTAATTTTTTTTTTGACTAACACAAGCATTTCCAAAAGGACTATATCATGCCCGTATCCCAAGTGACTAACAATTCTTTTTTTGGCACCTTGGAGACAAATGGGCATATAAGATAAAGAAAATACGCAAGAAATACCCAATAGAAACCAACCAGAATGATCTTTTAGGCTGCCCGTTCATGGAAAGTTTGTCACCTAATGTAAACAATTTCAGCACAGCTCTGTGACGGTTTCATTTTGTATTGAGCGGAAACAATGGAAGAAGACCTTCAACTGCTACCAGCAAAGAGGATAGCTGAAAGGCTGAATTTGCTTTTACTATTTTCTGTATACAAAAGTTTTTTCTTTCTTCAGTCACACAAAGGCATGAAAAAACACACAAAGATTACAGTGATCAAATGCCAAATTAACTACTAGAAAACAGAAACACATGAAGAAAAACAACAGAGGGAGGGGATAAAACCAATCTCCTCGCACTGTGAAGGTGGACTTAGAAACAGAATAACAGTGAAGCAACATTTTCAGAAGTAGGTTTGGAAATGGCAACTACTATATTCCTCTTGTGAAAGGCTTCTCTTAAAGTGGTTGTTAACCCTTCATATACCAAAGGAAGTGACTGGCCTCAGGTGGTACACAGAGATTAAGCAAATTCTCCTGCATGTTGTACCTGTTTATCTGCAGTAATCATTCTTTTACAGCATTCTAAAACACATAGATCAAAGGTTTTTTTCTCAGCCCCAGCAGGCAGGGGGCATGGATCTGATGTCACACATTGCACAGCATAAAGCACAAAGCTCAATGTAATCTGAGACCTGAGTGGAGAAATTGGAAACCCCCCTCTCTATGCAATCATAGGGAAACACGGACAGCTGAGGCTGTCAATCAACTACTGTAATACCACATAGCAAGTATTTAAAGATGCCTCTTTGTCAGCTTATCTGGTAGAGAGCTTGACCACACCACTCCTGCTTTTTCTGCAACATTATTGGCTAGTTATGCTGCTGATCATAGTAATGGGCCAAAAAAGCAGCAAACGTTGCCAAACAAGGCTTTGGAACAGGGAAGCCTGTCATTATCCAAAAAAAACTGACCGAGTAACAACCTGTGAGTGAAGATTACTAATAGTTGCCTGTTTAGTGGACTGCTATTCCAAACTTCTCCTTCCTACAGAGCTATGGTTGCCACTGATATGTGATACTTCCAGGTATGTCAGATGCCATACATGTGCTCCCACTATGTGTGCTGTGGTTCCACCTGCTGCCCACTATGCCAATACAGCACAGGTTGAACCACTATGTCACTACAGGACAGGTTGAACCACTATGTCACTACAGGACAGGGTGAACCACTATGCCAATACAGCACAGGTTGAACCACTATGTCACATCAGGACTGGTTGAACCACTATGTCACAACAGGACAGGTTGAACCACTATGTCACAACAGGACAGATTGTACCACTATGTCACTACAAGGTAGGTTGAACCACTATGTCACAACAGGACAGGTTGAACCACTATGTCACTTCAGGACAGGTTGAACCACTAGGTCACAACAGGACAGGTTGAACCACTAGGTCACTTCAGAGCAGGTTGAACCACTATGTCACTTCAGGACAGGTTGAACCACTATGTCACAACAGGACAGGTTGAACCACTAGGTCACTTCAGGGCAGGTTGAATCACTATGTCACTACAGGACAGTTGGAACCACTATGTCACTAACTACAGGACAGGTTAAACCACTATGTAACTACAGGACAGGTTGAATCACTATGTCATTACAAGACAGGTTGAACCACTAGGTCACTTCAGGGCAGGTTGAACCACTATGTCACTACAGAACAGGTTGAACCACTATGTTACTACAGGACAGGTTGAACCACTATGTTACTACAGGACAGGATGAACCACTATGTTACTACAGGACAGGTTGAACCACTATGTTACTACATTACAGGTTGAATCACTATGTCACTACAGGACAGGTTGAATCCCTATGTCACTACAGGACAGGTTGAATCACTATGTTACTACAGGACAGATTGTACCACTAGGTCACTACAGGACAGATTGTACCACTATGTCACTACAGAACAGGTTGAACCACTATGTCACTACAGAACAGGTTGAACCACTATGTTACTACAGAACAGGTTGAATCACTATGTCACTACAAGTCCAGTTGAACCACTATGTAGCTCTAGGACAGGTTGAACCACTATGTCACTACAGGACCAGTTGAACCGCTATGTAACTACAGGACCAGTTGAACAGCTATGTAACTACAGGACTGGTTGAACCACTATGTGTCTTCAGGACAGGTTGAACCACTATGTTACTACAGAACAGGTTGAATCACTATGTTACTACAGAACAGGTTGAATCACTATGTCACTACAGAACAGGTTGAACCACTATGTCACTACAAGTCCAGTTGAACCACTATGTAGCTCTAGGACAGGTTGAACCACTATGTCACTACAGGACCAGTTGAACCGCTATGTAACTACAGGACCAGTTGAACAGCTATGTAACTACAGGACTGGTTGAACCACTATGTCTCTTCAGGACAGGTTGAACCACTATGTCACTACAGGACAGGTTGAACCACTATGTCACTTCAGGACAGGTTGAACCACTAGATCACAACAGGACAGGTTGAACCACTAGGTCACTTCAGGGCAGGTTGAACCACTATGTCACTTCAGGACAGGTTGAACCACTATGTCACAACAGGACAGGTTGAACCACTAGGTCACTTCAGGGCAGGTTGAATCACTATGTCACTACAGGACAGTTGGAACCACTATGTCACTAACTACAGGACAGGTTAAACCACTATGTAACTACAGGACAGGTTGAATCACTATGTCATTACAGGACAGGTTGAACCACTAGGTCACTTCAGGGCAGGTTGAATCACTATGTCACTACAGAACAGGTTGAACCACTATGTTACTACAGGACAGGTTGAACCACTATGTTACTACAGGACAGGTTGAACCACTATGTTACTACATTACAGGTTGAATCCCTATGTCACTACAGGACAGGTTGAATCACTATGTTACTACAGGACAGATTGTACCACTAGGGTCACTACAGGACAGATTGTACCACTATGTCACTACAGAACAGGTTGAACCACTATGTCACTACAGAACAGGTTGAACCACTATGTTACTACAGAACAGGTTGAATCACTATGTCACTACAGAACAGGTTGAACCACTATGTCACTACAGAACAGGTTGAACCACTATGTTACTACAGAACAGGTTGAATCACTATGTCACTACAAGTCCAGTTGAACCACTATGTAGCTCTAGGACAGGTTGAACCACTATGTCACTACAGGACCAGTTGAACCGCTATGTAACTACAGGACCAGTTGAACAGCTATGTAACTACAGGACTGGTTGAACCACTATGTCACTTCAGGACAGGTTGAACCACTATGTCACTACAGGACAGGTTGAACCACTATGTCACTACAGGACTGGTTGAACCACAATGTCACTTCAGGACAGGTTGAACCACTATGTCACTTCAGGACAGGTTGAATCACTATGTCACTACAGGACAGGTTGAACCACTATGTCACTACAGGACTGGTTGAACCACAATGTCAC